CTTTAATAAGTTGTACCTACGCACAATTTACTTGTAATCTTGAGTTTTAAGTAATATGCATTAATAAATAGTACTTTACGCATAAAAAGTAGTTTTTAAGAGTTTTTGTCAAATGATTTATAATATAGAATTTATATTTTTTTATATAATTTAATTTAAGTTTAATAATAAAACAATTTATTTTTGGGTTAATATTTTAAATTTTATAAAGATAATAATTAAGTATTCTGTTAGAATTTAATGATTATACTAATTATATTTTTTATTTTTTATATTTAAAATGAGATGTTTATCCTGTATTTGATTGTGTTTATCTGCAGTTAGATACACGAATTCAGATATGGGATGAAATCGGATAGGGATGAAATCGTTTAGGGATGTACGAGTTTAAAAGTTTTTAAAAGTTTTTAAAAGTTTTAAGAGTTTTTAAGAATTTTAAAAGTTTTTAAGAGTTTTAACCAAATGTACATAAGATAATTTAGATGTGTCCTATGTTTTGACGAACGTGTAGAGATGGATTGAGAAACTTTTAATGGTTGCATTAAAAAATATTATAAAATAAAATAAAATTTGATTATAAAAAATATAGTTTTATTAATCAAAAATTTTAAAAAAAATTCAACCCCAACTTTTTTAATTGAATAATTAAGTTTTTAAATTTTTTTAATAAATAAATTATTTAACTTTCTTATTTTAAATAAATAAGTTTTTAAATATTTTTTAAAAATAAATAAACCGTTAAACTTTTAAAATTTGATTATTTATATTATTTTAACCTAACGGGTAACTTGTTAGGAATTGTTTAAATTAAAAAAAAAAAAACTAAATCGGATTTTTAGTTTAAGTCATACAAACCTCTTACACTCAATGACATCACTCCCCCTAGCCACCCTCGCCTACCCAAAGCCGTCTATACTTTGTACTGTGAATAGCTACCTTTGGTCCCTACTATCGAGCTCCCCTTTTTATTATTATTTTTTTTGTCTTTTAATTCTTCAATTTTACAACAATTTAATGAAGTATGTATAGACAGATCAAAAAAATGAATAATCGAAAAAGAATCAAAAACAAAAAGATCGATGACAGGGGCCAACAGCAATGATTAAAAGTGGACGATGATGAGGTGGGGCACAAAAAGTATGAATGATGTAGGGTTTGAGAAAGGTAAAACTAATTTAGTTTTTTTTTTTTTTAAGAACATTTCTAGAGGGTTGCAAGTGGATTTTTCTCGTGTCTATTTAGACTAAAATCATTTACGTTAATTTGCTAGTTTTTAATTTGGTGATTTTTGACCTTTAGCCAAAATTAAGTTGACTTTAAAAGACCAAATTTTTATATTATGAATAATATTATCATTTTTATTCAAAATGTGTGTAAACACTGTGTTGATGAATTTGTTTATGTTCGACGTTAACTTAGGGGCCGTTTACCAAACATTTACCCGGTAAGTG